TTATACATAATGGAAAAATACCTCATATTTTGAAAGATCACAGGATGTCAAAATTCCATCTTGAGTTAATGACTTCATTTTTAAAATTTAAAAATTAAATATTCAAATAAAAATTTAAATATAATTTAGCTATATTTCTGAACATAAGCAGAAATTACTAGTAGTTGTATTAGAAACAAATATATGAATGACTACAAGTTCTACTAGCAAAGAAGTTCTCTATTTTCTCTTAATTGTTCTTGAAGTTTTCTTTTCCTGAGTGAAAAGATAATATTGCAATTATTTAAAAGACAAGGAGTATTTAATGTCACGAAGAATACATGTTTTCCATATGTATATTTGCTTATATTGAGACAAAATGTCTATTTTTGGTCAGTAAATAAAGTCTGTCATGAAGAACCTAACAAATATGTAAGACACAAAGAAGAAAATGAACTACATGGAAAAACAAAAGCTCTGTGGAGTGTATAACCTGAGATGACAGCACTCTGAAGCATTAAATTCCTTCCTCAGTTCTATATAGATTGAGAATGATGAATCCATGATTGAGTAGAAAACAATGTAGTTTAATTAAATTAGTATATCCCTCAGATTTCTTTCTCCCACTGAAAAGCTGCTCTTAATTATACTAGTCTTTAAATCATAGATTAGAATAGCAGGTCATTATCAGTGAATTGAAAGAATGCATGAAAAAAGTCCTTCAAAAAATTGCATATCCATTTTAGGAACAATGTCATGTCATTAAAAAAGAAATACAGTTTGGATAGCTAATGTTGTTAATGAATAATATCATGTTATGGAGTATCAAGTTAATTTTCTAAAGACAGATGAAATTAAAGATTAATTTTATAACCATTTAAGTCAGAATATTAGTCATTGTATTTAATAGTAATTACTGATTAGGATGTCAAGATTACTGTAAATAATTTGTCTCCAAAATATAAATAGACTGTATAATTTCTATCTTTGTGGGAATATTTTTCTCAAAAAACAATGTTTATTCATTTAATATTATTACTGCAAATAGGAAAAATGTTAAAAATGAAATTTTCCTAAATATGTCTCTGAAAAAACCTTCAAATTATATAGTAGTAAAATTAGAACAATGTTACTGAATATTTAAGATCACTATAGATTATCAACAGAACATACTGATTTTCACGTGTACTTTATGAAACTTCATGTGAGTTGAAGGAATAAACCTATAATGACCATGATTTTGATAATGGAACTTTGTTGTAGCAAGAAACAGTTTATGTTTCAAAGGTTTCCTTAAATATCCTCTTTTATTTTTATTTGAAAATATCTAGTTTTCCCAGGAATAACCATATTTTTTCACATAAATGAGCATACATTTTATAATTAATGAATACAAAATTATTCATAAATCTGTGTTTATCTTTTATTTGAATGGTACCATGAGAATTAGTACCAAAGAAAAGTCATGCCAAAACATTTAATGCTTTATGTATTTGTATTTCTTCTTCTTCTTGTTTGCTTTCTTGATTTTTTTTCCAGATGTGATCATACATTTTAATCTTTTTTTTAAAGTTTACAAAAACTGTATTGAGAATTTCATACACGCATTTAAGGTATTTTGATCAAATCCATGCCCACTCCCTCCCCTCCAACATTACCCCTCTGAAGAGGTAACCCTAAAACCTTTTAAGGATTAGATACAAGTTCCAAAATACTTTTGACATTTTGACATTTTTGGCTTTTGGAGTGTGTTGCTAACAGGCCTAAGGACATTTTGACTTTTAACCTAGAAACTGGCTACATTTCTTTGGGGTCTTTTTACCCTAACTGCCTAGCCAATTCCTACTTCCTATTCTTATCACACCATCCTCTGAAGGGGTTACCCAAATTGCCAATAGGGAATAGGGATC